CAAGGGAGCACAAAACGTAGTACCCGACACATTCTCACGAATGGATGTTGAGGAAATCAGGTTGGCAGACCGGATAATGGACGTGTGCCTTGACTCACCTTATTTCAAGAGTGCCGAGTACGAAGAACTAAAACAGACCATTACCACGAGACAAGACAAACTACCCGAACTGTGCGTATCGGACGGATATATATACGAACGGACTCAATTTAATAGAGATGAGCTTCAAGAGGACCATACCTGGAATCTTTGGGTGCCTTCCGAGCTGAGGTTGGATTTGGTGGAAGCGGCACATCACTCACCTTCTGCAGGCCACGGTGGAGTCCACAAGACGATTGCCCGTTTGCGTGAGAAGTATTACTGACAGGTTAAGAATTGCGACGTATGCAAAACGATAAGACCCATTATAATTTTCAAAAGCCGCCAATGGGCAAACAACAAATAACTGAGCGACTTTTCCAACGTCTTTACGTCGATTTTATGGGACCCTATCCTCGTATAAAGGATGGAAATGTGTTTATGTTTGTATGTCTAGACCATTTCTCCAAATTTGTTTTCCTTAAGCCTATGCCTCGAGCGATAGCTGCAAAAGTAGTACAGTTCCTCGAAAGAGAGGTTTTTCATGTTTTCGGAGTTCTGGAGTTTGTACATTCGGACAATGGCAAACAGTTCGTATCAGAGGTGTTCACCTCTTTCTTGGACAAGTACGGTACGAGGCATATACGAACCGCTTTCTACTCCTCACAAGCAAATGCTGACCAGCGAGTAAATAGGTCGGTATTGCAAATGATAAGGGCTTATATTGGTGAAACTCAGAAAAATTGGGACCAATGTGTCAGGGATGCAGCTTTCCCATTAAGGAGCGTAGTACACTCTGCCACAGAGGAGTCCCCTTACTTTACTGTATACGGAATGCCTATGGTGAAGGACGGCGGATCATATGCAATCTTACGAAGACTGGGGTCGATCAAAGATGTAGAGTGTAGAGTAGAATTACGAGAAGATAAACAGCAACTGATTAGGAGTAAGGTCTTTGACTCCCTGAAGCGAGCGTATGCTAGGGGCGAGAAAATCTACAACACCAGGGCGAAAGAGGTTAAATCCAAAATGGACAGGTGGTATACCGCCGAAATTTTAATTTAATTTTTTATGGGCGACACTCCTGGAAAGAGCATAGGGGTATACCACGCCAAAGATACCTTTGTTGCCTTTTTCGTTTAGTGATCTTAGTGCAGTTCTAGATATTCGCTTGTTATTATTGTTGAAGGTGTCTTAGCGTGCATTTACGTGTATGTCTTTCTTAACGTAGATTCTTGTGTATTATTATTAATTTATTTGGATTTTGTATGTATTTATTTATTTATTTATTTATCTCTACACACGTATATGTTTATTTAGTTATTTATATTTGGTTATCTACCTGACGATTGGTATAGTTACCAGCAACTGTGATATAGTTTTATGGCCTTATTCATAAAAAAGAAAGTAGCGTTAAAAAAGTTTATAAACTGAAAAATGTATAAAAACGTCATTTTATAAAGCTCTTTAAACCTACTTTATTTTTTATGAATAAGGCCATTAGGATAGATACCTGTGATAAAAATTATGACTTCCGACTGTGATGTAGTAATAATAGCGCATGACTGTGATATGGCTTAAAACAAGTTTTCATTAACATGGTATGTAGGAGTAAGTCTACTTATAAGAATGCGAGTCTGTGATATGGCATGTATGTAGTAGTGATGCCCAGTGATAGGTGGGGAATATTAGCAACTGAAATCACAGGGCTGGATGGCAAAGGAACTCAACAGTAGAGATGTGCCCGGCCTTGGGCATGGGTCGACGCCACACGTCGGGTGCAGGATAAGAATGTTGGCAGGCTACGTTAGGAACTCCTTTACGCACACGCTCCATGATGCAGCCACCATCGGCGGGTGTGAGCCTGTAACGAAGCCATTTGGTCAAGAAGCCAAGTGTTTGTTTGTGCGTGTATTCTGCAACCTAAACTATCTCAACCTATACCTACAACCCATATGCAGCGCAGCTGAGTATCTAATACAGCGACGAGCAGAGAGAGCTCTTCCTCTGCACGCGCCTATACAAAATGTATAGAAAGCTTGAAAGAGCTTTGGCCGCGGGCAAGACTGTGCCCATAACCGATCTAATTCTGTCACCGCCTGACCAGTCGCGTTCGATGTACGCGTATTTGGTGTGAATGTTCGATGTCCAACTAGTTGAAATAGAAAGTTCGAAGAGGGACGTGTCAAACCGAACGGCTCGTTTGTGGGTTGTGAAGGAGGATTTTTTTTGTTAAACCTAGATACGATCACCAGCTTAGTAACAAAATTAATAGAAAAATCACAGTTGGTGAAGGCAGTTTAAAGTGCGGAGGTATTAATATTCAGCTTGTTGTTTAGCAATAAACAGTTAGGGGTACTGAATACCGTCAGCCACCGGGACATTCAGCAGTCCAAAAGAAACTACTATTCCCGCCTTGTTCGGGGTAAGCAGGCCTTTTTGATTACATTTATTGATTGTGACGCGTGTAAGAATTGTCCTAAATAAATTGGCATAAGGTGAAAAACAGGAAGATGATGTAATGGACATGCGGGTTTTTATTAGAACAAAAATAAGTTAACTAAAGTAGATTGACTCAACTAAAGTAAATTGAGACGTAATTTTACAAAGGAAAAAATGATATAAATGATACACCTAAGCTGCTAACATAAAATAAGCTGGCCTAATAGGCATAGACTATGAGGATGGGGTGAACAGGAGGGCAAACGTATGCATAAACAAAATAAAATGCAACACTTGAGCATAGATGTGTGGATTCCAAATTTATTGTGGTAAGGTAGCACATAGGACCTCGGGTTTTTTTTGGACCAGTGTACAAGAGCTGCGACATCGCTCATCCCACGGATACGTATTCATATATGGGCATAAATCGAACAGCACCCATAAGAAATACTGGAAAGCGTACACACCCACATACACCCGATTTACATGATTCAAGTACTTGAAAGCAATTCTTGCTCATTCTCTTTTGTGTATTCTATTTGCTTTTACACGTTTCAATTCTGTTGTATTCAAGTTTTTGGTTCTTTAAATGGGAAGCAACTAAAATGCGAAAAGCAAAGCAAGAAAGTTGAAACGACTTGACGGTACAGACGCATGTGTACTCGTCCCTTTTCTTCTCACCCCCTCTCTTCCACATGCGAGCAGAATTGAATTCAATACTTGAACTGTGTAAAAGCAGTCACACATACAGGAGTAGTGGCTTGGATTCGGTTAAATTATTATTCGTATTGCCTTGTTTTTTATGGGCTTTCAAACATAGTAAAGTTCCACTTAGGTTCCGATTTTTTTGGTTATATTTTTTGTTAAACAAATTTTAGTGTAATAGCTTCAGTTTTTATTCACCGCTTTTTGTCCTGCGGGTAGACGTAGTCGCGTGGAACTGATCGCTGACTCGCCACTAATCCACTAGTACTAATGTGTGAACTCGATTAAGAATCATTTCCATTCAACACTTATCATGACTGAATTATATATGCATATATGTATGTAAATAGTTGTCCCTCCCACAGCTTGGGTTTTTTGGCGTTTGCTCTCCCGATGCTGGTACCACGGAGTGAACAGGTGAGTGACATTTCAGTGAACTATTCATATTATTATAGCTAAACATACATATGCACATATACTAGTTTTTTTTTGCAACCGTACGAACAAAAGAAAACGGGGAGATAACCTGTACTAAGGTGTACTAGTATATGCAAAATTAATAGATATCTAAAGGACGGGCTACTGACTTGACATGACGATTTGACGTACGAACTACGGTCAATAAAGGGAACTCCACTCGCGTGATCGTAGCCTCAGTGGAGTTCAAGGCTGTCTCTTTACACACAGATGGGGTGGGATGTCTCCACCTGACAGGACAGTCTTCTAACGCTATCTCTGAATCTGTTTCTCTATAGTTACGTGTCTATTTCTTTTCCCAGGCATGATATTGTTTTTTTGTTGGTGGCTGAGGGTTGGAAGTTGTGGCAAGGACCACACCTATGGCCGACGAGCTCAAGCCGGGCTGCCAGCATGCCTAACCTGGCACCGCTCCCTCCCAGAACAAGCAGAACCACAACATGAATTCGAATAGCTACGAACGAAGCATATACTTTTAATTCCTTCCTTTTTTTAGCTATGATTTAGTGATCGAGTTTTTGTATATTTCACGAAAATCGGAATACAATGGATTCAGTGATGGCCCCGATTACCACGAATGCGACGTTCAATAATAAGGTTACATTTTCTTACATACATCGTCATTTAGCATAACCTAGGACAGCATGTACTTACCTTTTTACAAGCCGATTAGAGCGAGGTTGACTAGCCGCTACAACAACAACAACAACAGAACAGTATCGGCTGAGCAGTTGCAACAGTGTGGCAAACTTTTATAATCAGGGCTATCACTGAATCCACCGTAGTCAAATTGTTTGTGAACTCTACGAAAATGCTTTCACTGAATTCGAATAGCTACGAACGAAGCATATACTTATAATTTATAAAACGGAATACGATGCATTCAGTGATTAGCACGAATGCGACGTTCAATAATAAAGTTACATTTTCTTACATACATCGTCATTTAGCATAACCAAGGACAGCATGTACTTACGTTTTTAACCGCCTGCCAAAAAGGAGGTTATCAATTCGTCGGAATTATTTCTATTTCGATCATTTTTTTTTTTATAGGAAAGATGGTACCTCATGAATGGTCCCATACTAATCTGATTTAGTTCCGATCACTGGGTACTGAAGAAACTAACGGTACTTCTAAGTTTTTATGAGTATTGAATCTATTTTTTTGCTTAAAAGTTAGTTATACATATTATCCATCTCGGTATTATTTTGTGCATTTACTTTTTTAACTCTTGTCATCTATTTTGAGGAAGCAGTATAAGTGAATTGGGGTCACTATGCAATGATAACATATCCAGTACATAGCTCAGACAGTTACGGATTAAAAATAATTGTCTGTTTAAAAATTTATTTAAAAAACATAACTCATGCTAATTAATTGTATTTAAAATAGTGTGTATGTCTTTTAATGCTGCTTCAAGGTTGTGAACAAATTCTTTTCCATCACGCTGTTGTTCGTAAGACGATACTATCGCACCACAATAGCCATCCTGTATTGAATATCTGTTATAATAAGTGTCTATTAGTATCGCGATCTTTGCACCCATACTATAGCTTACCCAATACCCAATCCATCCGCAACTACAGGACCAAATGAGCCCGCCAGCAAAGCATTTGAAGATAATGTTGATGTACTGATTATGTTGTGATTGATTTTTGCATATGCTTCGCTGTCATATATTTGTGGTAAACGTTTACCATGTACTAAAGCTTGGTGTTTTAAGGCAAACAAGTGTCTATCGAAGCCTTGCCCCATGGCAGCCTCTTTCACTAACTTGTTATGCACTTCGGAACACCGTTTAATAGAACTATATAATTCTTTTGATTCAAGATTCTTACTTTGGCTTTGCATAAGGCTCTCACAAAATTCTTTTGTTGCCATGGTGCACGGTCGCACAGTCTCAGTACGACCATGTCGAAACGCAGCCGTGCTACACGATTCATAAGTGCCAACATAACCGTTAAATGCACGTTTGTATGCAATTTGAAAAGAAAGTTGCATTATCGCATCAGGACTTAAGCCGTGCTGTTTGCATAAAACCTTGTTTATCTGCGGATAACGAAGCATGTCTATATTAAGCCGCTTCATTAATTGGTTATTAGTAAAAACCGTTTTCTCTACCGCACTTTTTATTAGTTCATCTGTCTTTAGTGTGATTGACCTTACGGCATTTGTGTCTCCCGCATTGCCTAACTCCAAACTAGGACTTGCAAAAGGATTTTCGGTTGTTTCTTTATATATTTCATTAAAATATCTCAAGACCGCAACACCATCGCCCCAAGAATGTTCGAAATTTAATGCAGCTGTACCATCCGCGCTTACTATTAGTGACACAGACTTATCGAACCAGCTAAAATAATAAGTATAAAAAAAACACATTTAGATTGCTGTTATAAAAGGCAATTTATATACATATGTATGTAGTTCTGTAGTATGAGCTACTATTGGGCGGAGAGTAAGAGCAGGGCTCGTATCGTCCTATACGATATCGTATTACTCGTCACGTAAAAACACATTTTTCAGTTTGTGACCTACGTGAGCATACTCACTAGCCCATTCAGTTTATACAACGTATCACGTAATTTTCTTCCGTATAGTTTTCGATCCGTGAACAGATGTTACCATTCGAGCCCAGGTAATGTATACGCCAAAAACGTAGTCTAGACTCTAGTCCTTAATTGAAAATATAAATCCCATACCATCCAATTCTGATCGTCTCTTGCTTATAAGTCTCAAGTCCTTAGAAGCTCGTAGGTCTATACTGTGTCTGTTCTTTACCCATTATATCACAACTGGAGTCATTTATTGTCCTTACGTGTTGGAAAGGATTCGATTTAATGTTTCCCAGCGATCTCTTCGGAACTTCTACCCTTTTTATGTGGATAACTTTAAAACTAAGTACGCCAGTAATGCCCCCATTACTAGCGCTTTGCGTCAATTGAATTCCCTTATTAGTAATGCTGATCTGGATTTTCCCTTTCAAGGATTGCTTTTTTGAATCTTCTGAATTCTGTATTATAGTTTTATTGAAATATATATAAAATGTATATTAATAGTTTGTACTAAGTTACAATTGTTCATAGTCTGTAAGGATTGAAATTCATAGACTTAAATAAATAAATAAATAAAAAAAAGCGAATCCGGTAAGAACTGGGCGATACCGGACATTGCGATTAAGCCCGCTCCATGGGTCATACTAGAAATTTAAGCCAATAAAATTGCTCCTTACGTTCAATCCTTTTTTTTTTTGAATTCAATTACAAAATAATATTGGCAAATAAGGTATAAGTAAAAAAATCTTACTGCTTATTTAAATCTCTTGGAAAATATTTGTTTAACGAATTCTATTTCTTTCCTTTAATAATTATAGCAGCCAAACCAGCTTATAAGTCTACAAAAGAATGTTAATAACTTTCTTGATCTATGTATGAAATTTAATTTAAGTCAGGGTTTAAGACAACAAAAATTTAAGCCTCAATATCCTTTTTACTGCTTTGAAATTACCTTACCGATTTTTTCCATCTCCAGCAAGTAGGTGCTTTAGCAATGGTACAAAATTTTCTTCATTATAAACGGGATCATCTGGAGTATCGAAACATAAGCAAAATAGCGCCGAATCCACTTCCGTTTCAATTAAACGTTTGTTTTCTGCTCCCAAATTCTCGATTAAATGCTGCCGCACGGTGGCCCATTCATCTCGGTTGATAGATGTCAAAACACCAATGGGCACGGGAGACGGTCCGGCCTGTTTATCCAAATTTAAAGCGGCATTTAAACGACGCATAATCACTCTAGGTTGTTCTATGTTGCCATCTTTGTCCAACACATCTACAGAATACATGTTTCCTCCACGCATAACCAATATATGTTTTGAGTTTTCATGCTGCACCAACCAATCTTTTCCTTTCCCTGGTATTCTAGATACTCCAAACAATCTGCTATACTGACTCATATCCAATGGAAAAGCCTTAAAAGCATATGCTGCATAGGTGGCTACATTACGCGGCACGAGTCGCACTAAATTCCGAAAACCTTGGGTGTCACTTTTCTTTGCATTCAAATGGTAAATCTCGGGTTCTAAGAGATCTGCTTGTAATGAACGCCAAAATCTCATAGAACTTATCACTAAGTTTGTGGCACGCACAAGCTGATTTTGATATTCATTTCTCTTGTCATGCTTCATTATGAGCAAAGGATTATAGTTAAGTGGTAATGGGCTCCGATCGCTCAGGTACATGTCAAACCTATATTTGAAAAGGGGATAGTAAAAAATATATACTGTGTTTTAGTATACTATAAGCATGTTCGAGCTCAAAAAACATACGACGCCCTGCGACCAAGAAAAAAACTTCCCGTTCGGCGACGTGATTTTCATAGAGAGATACATGTGCATATATTACATATATAATGGTCTAGCACGCCAA